TGCCTGTCCATCTGCATCTGGAAGTCCCACAGGATCTTAGCCCTGTTATTCTCCATGATCTTCTGTGGAATCTCCCATCTGGATGTGGGAGGGTCTAGCCCATACATTGTACAGATGTTCCGGTACACAATGGCAGCTACTTGGTTGTGCCATTCAGTGTATGCTGTTCCTGCCTGCATCTTATACCCCTGAACCAGACAATTCCAGACAAGAACCTGGAATATGTGTGTGTGTGTGTGTGTGTGTAGTAAGTAAGATGTAGAGGTTGCCAAATAGAATTTGTAGTCAGTAAAATGAAAATCCAATAAAAATAAATTTGAATTACATGTCTTAATCTTGACAAGGTTCCACTAAAACACCACCACAAAGAAATGATCCATTTTTGGAGATCAGCAAAATTTTCAGACTGGATTTTCAGGAAAATAACGTAGGAATGTGGGAAGAGCACATAAGCATGGACATGGTGAAAATCCTGTGCAGTATGCAACAGATTTATACAGGCATTGTTGGAAAAGGGCATTTTGGCTCTTAAACCCAATCCCCTGATCAACCCTGGACCCAAATTTAAGCATCCCAGACAGATGGCTATCTAGTCTGATCCTGAACATATCAATTTCTTCCACACATTATTGGTTCCACTGCTGTTCTTCCTGCTGGGAAGTTTCTTTCCCCTATCATTCAAGTAGAATTTATCTTTCTGTAACCTAACTCCATTATTCCATGTCCTGTACTTTGACAGGACAGAGAACAGATTATGGAGTTTCTTCTATGTGGCATTCCTTCAAGTGTTTTGAAGAGCACTATTTATCCCCATCTTCTCTTCTCACAGTCAAGTATACCCTGTTTCTGCAACCTCTTTTCATAGGACATCCCCAGATCATCCTGCTTTCCCTTTCCTCAGCTTGTTGGTCTGATTCCTTATCAATGCTTAGAACCAAATAAAAGATGTAAGTAGGGCTGATTAACACAGAATATAATAATTACTTCCCATGATCTGGAAACTATGTCTGCTCCTAATGCCATAGGGCTTAGAGTTGTTGTAGATTAACAATGGCTCCTAAACCAAAACCCCTTTTTTATTGGAAGTTGAAAGAATTTTATGAGATATTTTATGTAATTCCGAGAACAACGAGCTTGAATGTCCTGATTTAAAGACTTGCTTTAAATAACATGAACTTAGTTACATGGTTAAGTTAACACAAGAAATTCAGCTTCATAATCACAGTGTAGATCATAATCAACAATAATATGACTTTGAATCAACTGTTGTATGTTAAAACACATATATCCTTCTTGGGTATATCCCTATGTTTAGAATCCATTAATATATCAAGAACTTGAATTTTTCAGACATAAGAGTCGCTTAAAAGAATTATCATAGAATACCGGAAGGAGAAATCCATGTCAGATTTTCAGCAACAGACTACTGATATGAGTTGTCTGAATTTCCCTAATCTATCAAGATTCAAAATAATTTCCATTTCCTAAAAAGTTAGCTATTTTGTATTATCTGACAACTTGATAAATGCTGCCTCCACCTCTTCATCCTTTAATAAAAATGTTGAAAGTACCAGTTCCAGGACTGAACCCTGATATACCAATCAATATCGCACTCCAGTTTGATGAGGAATTATAGATACATACTTGTCTTCTGTGTGACTTTTGAGTCAGGTATGCCTCCATTTAGTTATGGCATTCAGCCCACACTTAAGTAGCTGCTAATCAGAATCCTCTTTGTCAAATGTTTTTGTTGAAATCAAGATACACTATATGTACTGCATTCTCTAGATAAGGAATCTACTAAGGAAGTAACTCAATTTAAAAAATGACACAGCCTGGCAAGATTTGTTCTTGATCAATCCATGGTGATTTCTAGTAATTACCACATTCTTTTCAAGGTCCATATAGAATGACTGCTTTATGATCTGTTTTAGAAACACCCCAGATAGCAATATTAGCTGACTAATCTATAGTTTCCCAGATACTCCCTTTTCCCTGTTTTGAAGAAAGGGACATTTGTTCTCCAGTTGTCTGGCGCTTCATCTGTTCTCCAGGATTCCTCAGAAATACAAGGCACAGCCAGACCATCAGCAAGTATTTTTAGTACTCTAGATCCATGGAGATATAAACACATTCAGAATGAAGAGATGTTCCCTGATGATATATTTGGTACTCCCAAATGCGTCTTGAATACAGCTCTTAGGTTAGAAGTAGGGCTGATTAGGGTAGATTCAAAAGCCTAGCTAGTTATTCTTAATTATTGGCTTAAACTCATCTATCAGCCCACTGGGTTGTTCTATTCTGTTTTAAATGATACCTTTCAATCTACTCGGATGAAGTTCCTTAAACAGAACTACTTTCATGTGTCTCTCTCCCCCATTTTATGTAAACTTGGCTGGTCTCATGAAAAATAAATGTTTGAAATTGAGTTGCAGTATAATTTGAACTGATTGCCCAGCTTTTGCACCATTAATCAGAAAGGTATGGCTCCCTATCTTTACTCACTGACTCACCCAAACTATTGCTGGGCCTTTACTAGGAGTCACTGCAATGACTTCCCTTCATCATTGTTACAGGGCAGATATCGCAAACTTCCTGTGGTCACAATCTCTGCCCATGTGGCACACTAAGAGGGAGAATCGATTACACGTGTTCTTTTATGCAATATTGTGCCAAAACTATATT